GGTAGAAAAAAATCCCCTCTGGGTGGGGAATTTTTTTTTTTCGGTGTTTTGGGGGGGGGGGGGGGGGGGGGGTGCGCGCCGATCGAGCGACATTCACGCAGATTCTCTCTCTCTCACACACACAAACAAAACAAACACACGCGCGCGCACCCATACAGACACTTCTACGCACGCGCGCGCACTCCGAGGAAATCGGGAGCGAAACCAGCGCACCGGACGCTGATTGGCTGACGGTGCGCTCACGATGCGCGGGGATCCTCAGTGGCACAACGCTGGCAGTCCAGACTGAAGCGAGTGAAACCTCCCACTTCGCGCAGCTTTTACGCTTCAATCACGCCGAGGAAGAGAAGACACAAGTTGTTTCTAAGAAACCAGAGGCACTTGACTCTAACCCATTCAGTAGTGAGTTAGAGTGAAGACGGTGGTCGTCGGTTTCAGTTCGTTTGATGAAGACTAAAGTAGGTCAGAGGTCAATCTGATGCTGTGAGCATCTTTGGGAAGGACGTCCCAGTCTGGTTGGCTGGCTGGTCAGAAATATGTAAACTTGTCTCAAGGATGAAGGAGGCCATGTTGGCACATACAGTACATTGCAAAACCACACGTGTCAGCTCTGGCCCACCAGGACATGAACAGAACCTCAAGATAACAGCCGCGTGATTAACTATTATTTTATCACTCAAATCACATCAGTTTTTAGTTGTAAAGCACCAAACCAGAGCAACGCCAAGAGATGTTACATAGTATTTACTTTTAAGAAGTAGGCAGGAATGCAGAGAAAGCTGCAGTATTCTTAAAAGTTTGTAAATCGATGGTGTCATCAATACGTTTTGCCACAACCAACCGGCCCTGTGTGAGGACATTCATGACTCAACTCATTAAAATGAGTTTGACGCAGTTACTTTACACTTCTTCCAATTTTGTCACTTCATAACCACAAGCATCAGCTTTTTATAGAAATGTTGTTTCATGAACTGACAAACTTGACTGTGAAGCGGAAGGAGGTAATAAACGTTTTAAAATAAGATGGGACACAGTAATAAATGCTGATTTGGGACTGTGTCCAAATGGATCTTTGCGGTTTTACATATTTGCATGACTTAATGATGAAGCTGCAGCCGAGTCACCTTAATTCTACCACACCAAACGTATCGTTTGACAGAGGTAAGCTGTAAAACAACGTCTCAAGTTTTGAACATCTCGGGGTATTGCTAAACAAATGTATGCATCCACAGCTCAGGTGGGAGATTCTGGCAACTGTAAGTTGTTCCCCACCCATCACATTTACAAGCCACACACTAACCACCTGAAAGGAGCTGTGGTCAGATGAGATAAAAAAAATAAACCTGCATGCGAAAACACTGCACCTCTGCATTACCCTCCTGACCACACAGTGACACATGGTGGTGGCAGCATCATGCCATAAGGAAAAGAAAAGCTGGTCTGAGCTGATGAGATAATGGATGGAGTTAAATACAGAACAGTTCTGAACAAAAACTCATTAAAAACAGTTGAAAATCAGGAAAATGTTTGCACTCTCCATCCGGTCTGGTTAACCTTCAGTCAGTTTTGCTGTAAAGGAGGCAAAAACGTTCGTCTGTATGTGTTCAAGTTACACTGACGTATTCTAGAAGACTTTTGGGGTACGTCTCTATCAGCTGAGATAAAAACGACTGTCATAGTTCCACTTGCTAAAAAAAAAAAACAACAGGATTTTTTCCCCCCCCTCTGTTCCCCTTAAAAGTTTTTCTGTACTTCGCATTGTCCCGCAGGGAGGTTCAATGAGGACGGAGAACTCTGATGTCAGCTG